CTGTAATTCATTTAAATTTTGTAGTAGTTACACTACATCCTGTCAAAACACACTCCAAATGATTCACATACTCACTTTATATTCTCAGATATTGGTATGTAGGCTCCTTATCTTCATCTCCATACAGAAAACCAGTTTCTTTTGACCTGAACTTCCCTTGACATATGCCTGCTGAGCCTGAAGCTAAACTTGGCTCTTTTTAGATATTTAAATATCAGTTAAATGTCTACTACCGTCACAACACATAAAACATTTACAATAGGAACTACAAAAAGCAAGTAAGTATTTTCCTGTTTTTTTTTCATTGGATCTATATACTGTACCAAAACATTTTAATTATGGTAAATAACTGTTCAGAAATGTGAATTTTCCATAGCTTCATAATGTTATTTTATTTCATTAACCTTTGGGGTTATATGAAAACAGCAGGGAGAAAGCTTTTCTGCCTTTTACAACTTATCGGGGACAGGCAGCCTTAGAAAAGCCAAGCAACATCAATAACTTCCTGATCTTGTCTGAAAAAGACGGCTAGCAGTGTTTACTTGGAATGCATGGCTAAATCCTTTCTTCAAGCAATAGATAGACTCAAGTCACACTACTCCATTCCACAACACACCGCTTAATGCTTAGAGAGAAGCAGCCAACCAGCTTTCCATGAAGATGCATTTGCAAAATAAATTTTCCAGTTTTGTGTGGTCATCACATTCCATTCTCTCGAGCTTTGCATTTCTCTGTAATTGAGAATGTGTGGCATACAGTAGAGATAAAAATGCAAACCCAGCTTATATATGAAATTATTTTTCACTGCCCGTCATAAAATGGGATTATCAGGCCTGAACATGGTGGCCCTTACCAATGGCCTTTTTACATTTTGAAGCCATTGCATATTGTGGAGGGAGAAATCTTACCCTCTGCTCATATGCCATTATTGCCAACAGTGAGGTACATGGCAACTTGTCCTACTCCTGTCCCTGCCTCGTGTATAGGCAATCTTTTTCAGTTACGTATGTCCTAGTTACACTGAATGTGACTTTGAAATCATGCTACTTTGTCTACTTTGGTGATCAAAGCTTCGGATCAGTGCAATTTGTACCTCCCGATTTCACTGCGACTTCATTAAACAGAAGTCAATGCAAGTCACAGGTAAATCAGGGGAAAAAAAGGTGCATCAACTATTCTTGAAATCATGCTACTTCAAATCGCACTGATTGACAGTGACATAGAAATACATACGCTGCGACTTCAGGTGTGATTTGTAAATCGGATGTCATACCTAAAAGTTGCACCAGTGTACTCAACTAGAGAAGGTGGAAATAGAGAAGAAGCCTGGCACTTTTAGGCTCTGGACAGTAATGGCTGAATTAAGGGCATTAGAAATCCCAGAAATTCTGACAAGGTTGCAGAAAAATATGCCTTGGTCAATTAGGCCTCTTGTTGCATGCTTAAGACAGAGCTAGAATTCGATGCAGAGACCAGTGTTAAATGGGGTCCTGCTCTGGTGCAAGGGAAGAGGCATCACTTAGTGGTTTGAGAGCTTTGCAGGCCTTCGGGTGAGCAAATGTCTACTTAAGTGTCTGTCTGCTGATTTCTGCCATTATTACCAATGAGAATGTTCCCCTGTTTGGTACTCGCAGAGTAGGGTGCAAATAAGAGGTAAGAGTGTCTGTAGAAGGATGCACAGCAACCCAGGTGTTGACAATCCTTCAGCAAAGTCCTCATGGCAAAAAAGGTAAAGGGACCCTTATAAGAGCTCTAGGCAGTAGGAGGTGGTAACAGTGCAACCTGTGGTGTGATGTAGCAGCTGGTCATACACCTGAGACTAAGCTCTGATTGGTGGAATTTGAAAATGTAAACATTTTGCAAGTGAATACAATCAAACACAATCCTCACGGTTTTCTGATTGTTTTATCATTTAGAGAGTGTTATTTGGATGTCACAAATAAGTGCATTTTAAGTAGTGGAGATATTAAAACACATTCTTTGCTATGTGGCTACAGAATCGATCCAATAACAGGACAAACCTGTATTACTTTCAATTTTAAGCTATAATATTTTTACTCCTTGCTTGCACCAAGATCTTTTCCAGGTTTGGTCGTTTTGATTGGCCATGCTGGGATGATGTACCTCCCACACATTGTTGGTGCAAACAGGCAGATAGATAGTGCTGCAATGAAAAGTCTTCCTGGTTGCAAATGTTTCATTTATATGTAAAATTTTACTTTGCAAGATAAAATATTACCCTCACATATCTCTTTTTAACCAATTCAATACCGTGCAATTTTACACCTTCCTGCCCAGGCCATTTTTCAGGTTTCAGCGCTCTCACACTTTGAATAACAATTGCGCAGTCATACAACACTGTACCCAAACTAAAATTTATAATTTTCTTCACACAACTAGAGCTTTCTTTTGGTGGTATTTAATCACCGCTGGGGTTTTTTTTTTTTTTGCTAAATTAACAAAAAAGACCAAAATTTAAAAAAAAAAAAAGGTTTTTCTTTGTTTCTGTTATAAAAGTTTGCAAATAAATAATTGTTCTTCATAAATTTAGGCCGAGATGTATTCTACTACATGTCTTTGGTGAAAATAACCCAAATTAGGATGTATTATTTAGTTTGTAGGAAAGTTATAGAGTTCACAAACTATGGTATAGATCTGAATATTGATCAATCCTGAAGTACTGACAGCCAATCTAATTTCTTGAGGTCCAAGAATGTCAGAACAGTACAGATATCCCCCAAATGACCCCTTTTTGTAAAGTAGACAGCCCGACGTACTTCATAAGAGGCATGGCGAGTTTTTTGAAGTTGTATTTTTTTTGTCATAATTTTTCGGAAAATGAAAAAAAAAAAAAATTATTTTCACTTTTTTTTTTTTTTACATACTGTCACCAGTGCAGTACAGTGTCATCATATAACTGGCATGGCGGTGATCAGAGACACTGACTGGTGACAGTGTGAGAAAAAAAAATTTTTTTTTTTTTTTATTTTTATTTTTTTTAAGATTATTTTTTCATATTTCACTATGTCCAAAGTAGTACAATGTTACCATAGTAACATTGTACTACTTTGGGGAAGTGATCAGTATTTTTTTTTTTTTTTTTAACACAATTTGCTTATAGCAAAGAATTACTTTGTTATAAGCAAGCATTTACCTGAATGACATTGATTCATTCAGGGTTTTTTTTTTTTTTTTTTTATGCTTAGCTGTGATTTGGCCACAGCTAATCACATGACGTGCATGTGCTGCGCGGCTCTGTAAGCGCGCGAACTGCGCATGTGCGGGAGGACGCCATATGGCGGTTTCCCGGAAAGGTAATACATTTTTGCGGATGCCATTTGGCCATAGGCTGGGCGTCAAATGGTTAAATACAGAAAGTAATGGCCGTTCATATAAAGCTGGTCTAATTTACCAATTTTGCCCAGATTCTGGGGTTCTTTCCCAAATGCCCTCTGAACACTGCCTTTTGTCACAAGCCAGTCACAAATATTCTGGTTAAGCCCAAATGTATACAGGTGATAACATGGAAGTGAAATGAGTTATTCAGAGGAAAGAAAAGTATACTTCTACAATTGCAGCTATGTGAAGAGAATAAAAATTCTCTTGTCACTTTTTTACCTACTTCACAGATCTGCTTTTTCTTTCTAGTATACTACACCCAATGTACAGAATGACCTGCATTTATTACATTGCCTTCATCGTATACATTCCCTCAGTAATTGCTAGATGCATTTTTTGTGTGGTATTTATCATACCCATCTAATGAGCTTACCTGATAAGCTGAGTAACTGAACTCTACTTCAGGGCTTAATGAAGTAAATCCTTTTTTTTTTTATGTAGCATCGTAGTGTCACTATTCATATGTTTAGTGTTCAATTTTTTCACCTATACAGTTCTTATCTACAAAATCTATAGCATTTGAGAAAAGAAAATCATGCAGGTCACCTACATACCATTTAAAAGAGAAATATGGCTTTGGGTTTTATTGGCAAATCATACTTACCTAGGTGGATGCAGCATTGGTCCCCTGCCTGCTCTAAGGGTGAGAACTCAGCATGATCGCTGAATTCTGACAGCCGAGCTGCTCTGAACAGAGAGCGGTGACTGACGGTAACTCACTGGAGTGCTGTTCTGTGGAGTGGGAGGGAGCTGCTGGCTCAGCCAGGTGCCACTCCAGACTCTGGGATGCATCCCGACTTTAAAGTCGGGATTTTACCAATGCTGGTCTTATACAGTACAGTAGATGCACAGTATAAGCCACAGATGGGTAGCTGGTCACATTTTGCAAAAAAAAAAAAAAATGTCAAGCAGGCAGCTGTGCTTAAAAAAACACTCTAACCCAGAGTTGTGGGAAATACTGCAGCACTCTAGGGATTAGGGATGAGATTCATTAGAAAGATTTACTTACTGGGGCCTTTAATTCCCATCTCAAAGTGGGATCCTTACTGTGACCAGGCTAAGAACGTCAAGCCAAAGATTCACTTTAACCACTTGCCTACCAGGCACTTATACCCCCTTATTTACCAGGCCAATTTTCAGCTTTCAGCGCTGCCGCACTTTGATTGACAATTGCGCGGGCGGTCATGCAACATTGTACCCATATGAAATTTTGATCATTTTTTTCTCACAAATAGAGCTTTCTTTTGGTGGTATTTAATCGCCACTGGGCACTTTACTTTTTTGCGCTATAAATTAAAAAAGTGCAAAAAATTTGAAAAAAAAAAAAAGTTTCTTTGTTTCTATTATAAAATTTTTCAAACAGGTAATTTTTCTCCTTCACTGATGTGCGTTGATGAGGCAGCACTGATGGGCACTGATAGGCGGCACTGATGGGCACTGATAGGCAGCACTAAAGGGCACTGATAGGCAGTACTAATGAGGTGGCACGGATAGGTGGCACTGATAGGCAGCACTAATGAGGTGTCACGGATAGGCGGCACTAATATGCAGCACTGATAGGCGGCACTGATAGGTGACACTGATGATGGGTACTGATAGACGGCACTGACTGGCATCACTGCTGGGCACTGACTGGCGGCACTGACTGGCACAACCGCTGGGCACTGACTGGTGGCACTGACTGGCAGCACTGCTGGGCTGCACTGGTGGGTGGCACTGGTGGGCAGCACTGGTGGGTAGGCACAGGTGGGTGGCACTGGTGGGCACAGGTGGGTGGCACTGGTGGGCACAGGTGGGTGGGCACAGGTGGGTGGCACTGCTGGGCACTGGAAGGTAGCACTTCTGGGCACAGGTGTGTGACACTGCACTGCACTGGGCACAGGTGGGTGCACTGCTGGGCACAGGTGGGTGCACTGCTGGGCACAGGTGGGTGATCTGCTGGGCACAGGTGGGCGGAACTAGTGGGCGCACTGCTGGGCACAGGTGGGCGGAACTTGTGGGTGGCACTGCTGGGCACCGATCATCAGGGCACTGATCATCAGTGCCCTGACGATCGCTGCCGATCCTCGCTCTGACAACTGCCGGTTCTCGGCAGTACTTTCCTCACGATCTGACAGCGTGAGGAAAGTGCAGCCGAGAACCGGCACTTGCATTTCCCTGTGATCAGCGTGTCATTGGACACCGCTGATCACGTGGTAAAAGGCCGGTATGATTGGCCGTTTACCACATCTCGTGATCAGCTGTGTCCGTAGGACACAGCGATCACGGAGATCGCCGGGTGCGCGCCCCCTGGGGCGCGCAGGAGAGCGCGTTCTGGAGGAATGTCATATGACATCCACCCAGAACTGGCCGGCCGCAGTGCAGCCGTCATTCGGCTATCTGCGGTCGGCAACTAGTTAAGCAATAATCTACATGTAAAGGTGGCCATGAACAATTCAATAAAAGCTTTACAGTATCATTTATGATGCCAGTCTGTTTTAACTTTAACAGGTGGCAAATCTCTCTGAGAACAGCTTCTGATGCTTTGATCTTTCATATAGATGAGTATGTACTGACTGCACCAATATCGCAGTCAGGCAAGAAAGGTTGACCTCAGTAATGGAAGAAGTGATTTTAAAGATGGGTTGGTTTCTGCCTGCTGCCATTGTCAGAAATATCTGCTCTTGTATGGCCTTCTTAATCTGAGTTTAGACTCTCTGCATAGTTCATTGAAAAAAAAGCCAGCAATGAATAGGGGACAAGTGGCAGTTTATTGCTGAAGAGCATTTCAACCACTATTCGTGTGCCCCTGGTGCAATGTACAGGCTCCTGCATTGTTTACTGCCAGCCTAATGTGGAGCTCAAGAAAGTAATCAATGGACTACAAGTGCAGTGACTTCACTGCCCGGCTGCTTGCATGATCTGCAGTTCTTTCTCCAATGGTGGCAAATGGAACTTATCTTGCTAATCACAGGTGTCTGTGAATGGTGGTTGCTTTGCGTGCAGAGCCATGCTATAATTAGATATGTGGTGCATCTCTGCAAGGAAAAGCACCTGACTATTCAGGCAAATCAGGGGTAAAACAAAATGGAAAATGTGTGTTATTGTTAGTAAGCAATACGTCTAAAATATACTCCTAGATTGTAAGCTCGAAAGAGTAGGGCCCTCTAACCCCTCGTGTGCTGTTTGTTGTTGCTGTACTGTTTCATGTATTGTCCCCCCCCTCTATTGCTCAGAGCTGACCAAACCCTTTGGCGCTATATAAATTCAATGTAAGAATAATAATAAAATGGCTAATTTTTAAAATGGAATTCCATTCACAATCTAAGACTAAAGCTACTCCCACCCCCATTCTAAGCCTATTCTATTTAACCCTGTAAAGAAAAGATCCCTATAATTGCCTATTCTAAAGCTGCTCCAGTCCAGTTCCAGGATCAGCTATCGGTGGCGAATTCTGCCAACGGACACCCTATAGCAAGTCTCTGGGTGATGTCCTCTCCCAAGCATTTACATCAGTTATCAGCTTTCTCTCCTCTACACAGAAGCCACTACTGGAGACTGAACAGTAGCAGCTTCAGAATGGGTAAATATATGGATTTTCTTCTTTACAGGGTTGGCTAGAATTTGGTTATAATTAGGGGGGGTTAGAGTTAGCCTTAGTTAAATTGTAATTTGCAATTCCACTTTTAAGCTCTTTTCTTTTTCTTTTTTTTTTAATTTAAACCCTGAATATTGAACACTGAGGAGATATATTAAAGAATGCCAGCCCAGATCCATGAAAGTTATTCTGCTGAAAGGGGTTGCATGTAGTTCCGTGGTAGGTATCTTTGGGAGCAATATTCTCTAAAGGTTACTACAGAGGTCTTCTTTTTTTTCCCCTTAGAATTAAATAAAAATGTTGGGGGTAAAGAAGCATGTCCTTACGGTCTCAGCATCAGAAGACCAAACAGGAGAGGTGCACCTGTCATACATATGCTTTATAAGCCTTATAGATTGTATGCCGGTAAGACAATTGCATATATGCATGTTGGTGTTGGAGGGTATCTTCTGTGATCAGCATTAGCATTTGTATTTCCAGCCAAGGGCATACTTTTTAAATGACCAAACATCGAACGCCTGCACTTAAAACTATGAAATAATAAACATAGCAGCTGAGCAATTGACTTTTAAGTAGAACTAGTTTCCCTAGAGTAACTGACAAACCTGACATTTACCATTAAAAAGTTGTACACCAATACCTAGTGGAAATGGTACAAAAATCTCCCCATCTGAAACACAGGTACTGGTTTGTTTAACTTTCACTATATTTAGGCTGTATTCTGTATTTTTTGTTCTTGTCAAAACATGTTAACACACCAACATCAGAATGAAAAGAATATCGTAATGAAAGTTAATTACTCGTATACTTCAAAAGCAAACAGAAGCAAAATGTGAAAGCTCTGCTTGCTTCCCTATAATTGTCATGCTGCTTATAACGTCAGACCCCTCTAAGATACATATTATGGGCTGGCTTTCCCCCATGTTTACTGGCAAAAAAAAAAAGAAACCTTAGAAATACAAAACCGGTAGCTTCAAATTGGTCAATTTGCTTAGCCTAGTTAATTGTATTTTATAGGCAACATTTACAATTGAATTCTAAGCATTTATTTTGAAGGTAAACATTGCTAATGGAATATCCACTAGTTTAAAGTAGCATATGTAAAACCTACAAGAAAGTACATTCAGAACTGATGTTCTTAGCAATCATATTCCAGCTGTGTTACAGTGACAATAAGGTCTCATTCACACAGACATACCTGTTCATGCACCCGTGTGAAGAGTTGTCTTATGTGGGATGCACAGGTATTGCGTCCAGACCTGTGTATATACAGCCTGTTAAAAATAATGACCTTCGGCCAGCAACATGAACCTGCACATATCTCTAAGAGCACCCCAGAGTATGTATCCGTGCAGGTCTGATTCACAGATCAGCATGTCTGCATAGATTTCAATAAGACTGGCTGCATCGGTCTGCAAAGAACAGATAGGTACACCCATGTGAACTAGGAATTAAAGTCTTACTAAACCCACAACAGTAAAATCAGTCTGTATATGCAGTAAAGAATGCTTGTTAGACTCATTGTGGAACCTAAGGGGTTGATCCTCTGCATTGTGTAAAAAGTCCATTTGAATATTCACAAAGGTACCTGCACCTATTCTTGCCCTACTAAGAACTAGGGCATTCAGATCATAGGGTATCTAAATGATCTGAATGACTCTTTTCCCTTCCAACTATGTTCAAATGTCTACAAGACTGTTCAGATACTTTAAGCTTTCATCTGGGTCAAGACTCAAATTTTACACTTGCCGGCTCTTATTGGACAGGTGGAACTAAGGTTGGGACGATTGTGTCCCAGTGGAGGAGAGGGGGGTGGGCTCTGCCATAACATCAAAGCCAGCACTGTCTAGTGAGGCAAGATCCGTATACAGGTGGATGGCAGTGGTTCTTGCACTGGGCTGCGCTATTGGGGTGCTGTAGCACCCCCATCAGCACTTGCTCTGGGCACCTGCAGGAAAATATTCACAGATTTACAGCCTGGGTCTCCTGCTTGTTATAATGAGCTTGTCACAATAAGTCCCGCCCCCATGCCTGCCCCTGTGTGTACACGTTCTGCTCAAGGAGTAAACCGGCACTTCCTGTAGCTGTACACAACACCAGACTGCCTGGACAATGCATAATTTAATGTAAGTAAGCTGTGCATTGTGCTGGGGGGAGCATACTCTAGTGTTTGTGGGCCATACTGTAATATCTGGGGTGGAGCAACTCTGGGTTGGAGCATACTGTATTTGTGGTGGAGCAACATGTAATATTTGTGGTGGAGCAACTGTAATATTTGTGGCTGAGCATCTCTGTGGTGGAACAGCTGTAATATTTGGAGTGAAGCAACTGTACTATTTGTGGAGTGGAGCAACTGTAATGGTTGGGGTGAAGCAACTCTGTGGTTGGGCATACTGTAATATTTGTGGAGAATGCTTTATTATTTGGGGTGGAGCATACTATAATATTTTAGAGTATGGCACGGCTGGTGTCCTGGTTAAGTCTGGTGCCAGCTTAGAATAGACACTAGATAGACAATAGAAATAAGGCAGGAAGGAGGGGGGCACAAAATAAGCTGACACATACAAGACAAACAACAAAAAAGAAAAATTCGCAGCTCTAACTTGCCAGCCAGCTTGCAAACAAACCGAATTAACCCGTCTAACTGTATGCGTCAAAAACAGGGGTTTAGTTAGCACACATTTGCAAATACAAATACAAGAGCCCCCATAGTAGAGGCACATGTATTTAATGGATAGACCAAGGGCAGATGGACCTGAGGGAGCCCATTCCTCCTAGTCAGTCAAGGGGGCGCATTTGAGCCCTATCTGGGTTATCAACTTTCAAAACTTTGCTCTCCAACTTTCCCTTCGCCAAGAAAATTTGGGCCTCGTTGTAGATGAACTCTTCCTGAAAACAAACTGGTCTATACTCATGGGTTTCTATTGTTACTGGCTATTTTGGTCCTGAGGACACCGCCCTTCAAGTTGGGTGAGTTGGCATTTTACTTATATTAATTTAATCTGCAGGGAATCCCATTTGCGTTTTTTATTTCGTTATATTAGTACCTTTTGGCTCTCTTTGGGTCTTGCTCTATGGTTGAACCCCGCATATTGATTTTAATTTTTTTACTTTGCGATTTCAATTCCCTCCACCCTCCACCCTCCACAGGATGGCGTTTTTGTATCTGTGATAGGTGAGCCACCCTTTCCCAATGGCTTATGTGATTTAGTGAGGAGATTGAGGAAGAAATTAGATTGGCGTTCTCTCTGGAACCCTGGGATTCTATAATACCTGCAGCAGATGTTAGTTAATTTTTTATGTTGTTTACATAATCCTTTAATATAAAATATTTAAATGGGAGATGGGATATCCTCTTTGGAATCATACATCGCCAGTGGTATTATCCCGCAGGGTCTCAGATAGCGGGTTATTCCTGCTGAACATTTGCATACTGGTAGGTTCCTAACTAAATGGAAACCACAATGCCTTGATCATGGGCTGACTGTGATGTGCTTGATAGTGGAAGAGGAACAAACTCAACTGACAGAACTCAAAGAACTTAAATTGAGAAAAGCACTAGAACCACATAAAGAT